AAAAATTTCTTTTCATTACTTTAAATCAATAATTTCAATAAATTAAAATACTTCTCGATTGATGTTATCAAAATTGATTATATTTTAATGCATTCTGTTGTCAATAAATTGTTATTTCATTGAATAGTTGATGACTTCTGCGAGTGCTTGCATTCTGTTTACAATAAATTGTTATTTCATTGAATAGTTTGATGTCATCTGCGAGTACTTCTAATTCTTAAAATAATAAAACTCTTATAAGCAATTATGTTGATTTTACAGGATTGTGAAAAACATTTAATAAGAATATTATTACTTTCTTTACTTTAAAGGAATAATTTCAATACATAAAAAAATAGTTCTCGTTTGTTGTGAACAATATTGATTATATTTTAATGCATTCTGTTTGCAATATTGTTTTCATTGAATATTGTTGACTCCATTCATGGGAGTAATTCTTTTTTTTTCAATGGAGAGGAGAATGAAGGAGGAATGAAAGGAAATAAGACAAGGAAAAAAATTATAAGCATTTATAAGATCTTATTCTTTTTTTTATTTTTCATCAATGTCATACAAAAAATATTGATTAAAATTTAATGTATTTCATTCCATACTAGTCTTCCATGTAGATTTTAACTTTAAGTGTTCAAAGGGATATAATAGTATCACATATGCATTGTTTGTCGGATTTTTTCCTAAATATATTATATTAGGCCTTGATTTAATAATCTGCTTCACCCCCATTTCATCGATAAACGGAGTAAATATATAATTCAAAATAAATTATTAATATATTTATATTTATAATTAAAAATAAGATTACAAAAAAGAAAATTATAATACTAATATACCTTATTGGTAAAAATGTGCTATACTTGTCGTTTAAAACGACTGCATAATTTTCACTATTAAATCTTTCAGATGTAATTTTTGTCCTAGTAATTTCGTAGGCGATTCCTTTCGGAAAGTCCTCCCAATGCTTTGATATTTGGGAGGATTCTGCCCTTTGTACGATAGCACTCCAAATGTCACTAAAACAAAACAAAAAATTAAATAAAAATATTAATTTTTTATCATACCACAAAAATAAATAAATCATTCTACTTACGTCTCTTTGGGCGGTGAGTATATAAATACACGACATGCTGGATCCGCGACCAGTCGCGGCGCTGTGGATTCACTTATGCAAATTGTTGTCGTTCCTGGCGATGGTGTTGTTTCACCTCCTCCGATGGCGAACTGCGAAGATACCAGTGCTAATCTGTATGCATCAAATGCATCATCTTCGTCGTCATCCAGCAGCCCAGTTAAATCGATGGATGCCACATCCGCACCCATCAAACGTCTCCAGTAAGTCGTTTTTGTCTGTTCGTTCGCACTATTAAAAATAAAAAATAAAAAAGGAAAAAAATAAAAATATAAAATTAATCTAAAAATGAATGGAAAAAAGAAAAGAGATATCAAATACTTACGATGTCTTCCGCTTTTTGGACATCGAAGATGTTGACGGCAATGCCATGGCAGCAGCAGCATCTACTTCTCCATCAATTTCTCGAATGGTGGCCATCGCAAAAGAACGGTAGCAGCAACAACAGTAGTAACAGCAGCAGCAGCGGTAGCACCCAGAGTACTATTCATTTTATGATGATAGCAACGCTTTTATATATAAACAGCGACTTAACAAACGCGGTAACGGTTTCCAACGTTCTCATTTGAATTTGAAAAACCGTTAATTTTTTACGTTTACTTCAACATTGAAATAATCAGCGTGGTCTCATAAACGTTTCCTCCAGTATCGTGGTCGGTAATCTCTTCCTGTGGTGTAACAGTTCTTCCATTCTGCTCAAAATACGCGGCGGTTCCTAATGAGTTGTGGTGCGCATGTGGTTTGCGCAACCACAACATTACTTCAACGTGTGCTGTATACGATTTCATCATTCTTGAATGTGTCATACCTTAGCGCAGAGCTAGTGATAGTGTAGTGCATATTAGTGAAGTTTGAAGTGTCTTCGCGATGAA